AATATTACCAAATGTTAGAATTAGACACTTTGACAATATGCCGGTGATAACAGCAAAGAGAAAAGAACGATCCAACCACATGTCGGTGCACGTGATTTACCGCTCACGTGTGACGTGCTCTGTGAAGGACCATCAATATAGACTAAGCGCCATTCACACAGAATGCGCTTTTGTGTTGACAAAGACGCAATCGAATAAAAAACCTGTAAAGAACTACTACTATATGTCTGATATTTCATGTTTGCATCATGGTGACAGACTGAAAGCTGCCCTTGTTTTTACAGAACATTTATAGTTAATAATACTCTACTGGTGTTATACCGTTAGTCATTTTGAATTTGAATTACCTTGACTTTTTAATTTTTTTAAAAGCATTTTCCTCGTATTATTTCTGAACACATAATATGTATAAGACAAGTTTGTACAATATGTAGTTGTAGTTTATGCATCTTTTCTGCAAAGATATTTAACAAGTGATTTGTTTAACATTTACATCATATTGACAAATTCATGTGTGCTGCACTTGGAATAGAATTTTCTTTAACTAGAGGGTTAAAAAAGAAAAAGTTACTTGAATCATGTTGTAGTTACATTTTCAAGTTGACTAGTTAAAAATCTTTAAAAAATCGAGAATCGGTCAAACATTCTGGAAAAATCGAGATTTAAATTTTTTGCCAAATCGCCCAGCCCTACTTTGTACACTCTTCATATTACAGTCCAGCAAAGATTACAGGACATTTACTCACAATTGCTGTCCTGCAGCAAAACATGAGGGCAGTTGCATTTTAGATCAAACATATAATGGCAAGTGAGCGTGACCTGGTTGCGTCAGTGAATGAAAGAAATTTGCGTAAATAAAATGATCTTGCCAGAAGAATTGCATGAAAACTCATTTATGAGGTTTTACACATGCGCCGTAAGGCGAATTGAACGTTTTCCGACGTTTCAGTGTAGATGAGAAACTTTTGGAAAACGCTAGTGTGGATGGAGAGTGTTTTAAAATGAAAACACCGTGTTCTAATGTCTCCGGATTAATGTAGACGTAGCCTTAGTCATTTCAGCTGAGGCCATAACAAGTAGTCCTTCATGATTATGCTCAATTTGTCTCCTCTGAACGCTCATCTCCTCCAGAGACACTGCAGATCCTTTTATGTCGAACAAAAGCACTCTTGCTAGCACGTGGTGGGAAGCACTACAATCAGTACATGTTTAGACTTGAATTCCTTCATGAATGTAATATCGTGGACAGGTCAGGAAACTGCTTCTGGATGTTTCAGTACAAAACAGGAAAACGGGGATGTTGGAAGCACTTGTCAGTACAGAATGATAATTGTATGGTTTTCATGTTTAACCTCTTATTTTCTCTAATCCGTCAGCTCGAGGGGATGATGTTTGCTGGTTGAGCCTCAAAAGGCAGTTTGCAAACCATAAACTGCTAAACTATGCAGTAAGGTGTGCATACATAACAGATGGATTGATCTTCCTCTGGCTATTCTCCTGGTGAGAAATGTAGAGGGGAAAGCAGCAGATGAATTGGATATTAATGATTTTTTTGCCCCATAGTGCTCTAGAAGCCCAGGGCATTATGCAGCTATTTAGCAGTGATTGATGAGTTTGTCGTTCAGCCTCAGAAAAGAGCGATCAAGCTGTTATTTGTGTTTCCGATGTAATCTGGCCATGATAAGTTTGTATGCCGATAACATTTCCCGTGAGAGTCGCAACATATTGCATGAACCACACGGAGCAATTTATTATTGCTCCACCAAGTCAAATAATTCCTATGAAGTCGCTCCAAATGAGCTTTTCTTAGTTGAAAGAAAAAAGAAAACGAGGAATAGTTTTAAAAATAAACCTCATTTGATTTTAAAATATGTTCCTTACTCTCAAAAATAGAGGTCGTTAGAAGACCCATTTTGAAGAACCATTTTGGGTTCCCCAAAGAACATTTTAGTAAACTGTTCTTAAAAGAACCTTTTTTTTTTCGTGCAAATAATGTTTTAAAAATCTAAAGAATAATTTAACCTTTTGTGCAATTAAAAGATTCCATAGATGTTATGGAACCATCGATGCCAATAAAGAACCTTTATTTTTAAGGGTGTATATGAATCGCTAACATTAATATAATCCTGAGGACTCAAAGCAGTGCAGGGTTAATCAAATCACCAATTTATCCTTTAGTTTCTCCACTGGAATCAAATCACAGCGATCTGAGAACCAGCCGACCCTCTGCGCTATAGCATATACTAAAGTGGTATTCCCAGAAGAATTCGGCAGTTTTGCCCACATTTCAACACTGACTAATGGCATGGCTTCACGAACATGATGGATGCCGTTGACAGCTCTCATCAGCTCCTGACATGACAGATTGAAATATTGCACAATAGTTTGATCCCAAACACACTTGACAGCCCATTGTGTGAGACTTCCTAAGCTCTATAGTACAGATAGAGCATTATCATTCATTTTTATGCATATGCAGATCCCCGCTGGGAGTCCATAGCAATTCAGGATCAGTCTTGTTGCTGGGGGATAAGCAAGAATGTGGGAGATGAATGGAGAACGTTTGTGACAGCATCTCCTTGATCTGGGCGCTTTAATGACTCCTTCTGATATCTGCAAGCTATTATAGATATGAACACACTTTCTTTACAGCCATTATGGAGGTCAGGTGTTTAAAAGAGAGGTCTATGTGGTGAATCACATACAATTATGAACCCTAAAGAGGGACAATGGGATTTGTTATTAAGTCTAATCATATTGAATTAATCACTTTTAAATTGAAGAGAGTCTTCAGGGTTAATTGCACTAAATGTGCCTTATTCTCCTGGTGAACTAGAAACTGGCAGCTGTGGCTGATAACACTGATAACTACTAATACAGGTGGAACTATTACATGACATCTTAAAATTCTTCAAAACTGGCCTTTTTATGAAGAATGCCATATGAATATGCACGGTAATAAACACACATGACATTAAAAATGCAAGAAAACAACTAAAAACAAAAGTTTTGTTTACAGCAAAGGAAAACCAGTCTACTCTTGGCTCATATCAAAATCCTTCAACATTTTTATTTACAAATCCTCATTTTGTACTGTGTTTTGTTTTGCTCTCTCCTATGCGCTTTCACGTTTGTCACTTCCGTGCTCGTCACCGCATTCGCCTACGTCCTTTGTAGGGATGCACAATATTATCGGACTGATATCGGAATCGGCCGATAATGGCTTTAAATGTAAATATTGGCATCGCCTGATATGAAAAATGATGCCGATATGTCTTGCCGATAAGATGAATGCGTTAACTCACATGTGCTCAGGGTGTGCTAGCGATTAGATCAGGTCAGCAGTGTGGCGCATTCTTGAAGCAAAGTTTTGTCTGAATGATGATTAGATTCACTCTTTTAGATCGCTGCATTTAATCTGTGAAAGCACGTACAGAATGACGCATTCGGTGTATGATAGAGTAAACCAGAGCTGTCCAAACTCGGTCCTGGAGGGCCGGTGTCCTGCAGAGTTTAGCTCCAACTTGCCTCAACACACCTGACTGGAAGTTTCTATGCCTAGTAAGAGCTTGATTAGCTGGTTCAGGTGTGTTTAATTAGGGTTGGAGCTAAACTCTGCAGGACACCGG